GTCTGGTATGTTACCTTTCCTCTTCCATATCCCGTTTCTGTCCTTGACTAAGTCTCTGCCACCAGAGGCTGAACTATGAGGATGCCTCGGTAGGGTCCCTGTGCCTCTTGGATCCTGCTTGCTTTCCATCCCTGGAAGAGAGGGAGGGAGAGAGCAGTCATGCACATAGTTTCTCGTCCCTGGGAGGTCCGGCTGCGTGGAGCTGGCTCGGTCCCTCCATCCAGAGTCACTGCTGTGCTCAGAGCAAATGACACTGAGCAGCTTCTGTCAGAGTCAGGTGAGCATTCTGACTCCTGTCCTTTCAAGCCCAGAGGAGGAGACAGCTTGCTCTATGGTCCCTTTAAACCCACAGCTTGTAACAGCATCTTTGCAAATAAGCACTCCTCAAATCATCTCATTGGCAGTGCATCTTTTTCTTTCAAGACCCTCACTGATATAGGTGCGAAAGGTGGGCTTTCACCCTGTCTCACCACAGCATCGCACACCTGTGGTTCTCCAGTCCAGTAGGGTCACAGAGCGCCATGTTGTTGCCTGGGATCTTATGCAGCATGGCCGCTTCTTTCTTGATGAAAGCCTTGCATAATCCTCCTGGTCTGGGATTGCTCTGCAAACTATTTCATGCTCCTTCTCCAACTTTTGCAGGGTTTCCATTTTGGAGAGGAAAGATGGGGTTGAGGCGAAGCCATGGTTCAAGAGTCTTTAACCACTTGTTTACTTTGATCTCCTCTAACTCACAGTGCAGTGGAGAACCTCCCTCACTTCCTCTGCCCACCTAACTGTGACTTCTGTATCTTACAAATTGAGGAGGAATTTCCTCTCTTCAATTATCTGGGTCTATCACAGTTGCATTTTGCTGGGAAATTTATAAGAAAGAGAAATAATCAAGCATCCATTTAATATTTTCAAAACTGCACTGCTCATTCTATACAAATTAGACAATATTGCTCCTTCACTTAACACTACTGGCTCCACACCTCCACGTAACGTGCAGATTCATTAGCAGCATCTGGATTCCCAGCAGGCTTATCTCCTGCTCGTGTTTCTAGCCCATTTCCCAACATGGCTAGTTTTACATCACACTTGCCCCTTAGTTTTTTAAACATGCAAATTATATCTTACCTCAGGGCCTTTGAATATGCTGCTCTCACTGCCTAGAAGAATCAGTTTTTGCCACTGTATGTCTAAATGTTTTAAGTCTCATTTTAAATGCCTCTGTCTCCTCTGGATGTCCTCTGCTATAAGCTCATTCTTTGTAAGTTATTTTCTGTATTGTCCTTTGGATTATTCTCCATTGTGCTTTCTATATGTGCCATTGTTTTATTTATTTCTCAGGTTTGTTCCATTCATCATGTCAACCATAAAGAAGGCTTTATAAATGTCAGATACTATATGGCTTTGCATACCATTGTAATCCTGGCTTGTAGCACAGTGTCTCTCTCAAAACAAATTTACAGTAAATTTTTGTAGAATGACAAACAGAATGCAATCTAGTGTGCAGTATGGAGTAAGTGGTCAATAAATGTAGCCTCACATTGCTCTTGTGAACTCTCCAATATCACATAATTAGTATGTTATAAACTTGAGAGTATCAATTGCTTGGTATCAGTCTTGTTTCGTATTATCTGATGTACACATCTTGAAGGCCCTCTTGGCAGAATTGTGTTAAGAAATTTATCTAGTCAAGCCAAGCACAGTACATGATGTGGCATCCCGGCTGACACGATCCTGCCAAGGTTTCTGCTCTAGACCAACATTTCACAGCTGTCTGCATTTCTTACACCTTTTTAATGGCTCTACGTGGAGATTTCTGTTGGAACTACTGTACTTCGTGTCTCACTGCGGGGGAAGCAAGCTGCCTTGGGAGTAGGCTGTGGAGAGGCACACAAGGAGAGGAGGGAAAACCCCTGCTAACAGTCAGGAGCGGCTAGGGAGCTGCGGACGGGCCTGGATATCAGGTTCCCAAAATCATTTGACCCTTGAAGTGTCTGCTGATCACACTGACAGCTTGATTACAGCTTCCTGAGGGACCCTGAGCCAGGAAAACTCAGCTAAGAAGCTTCTGTATTTCTGATCCTCAGAAATTATGTAAGATAGTGTTTATTGTTTTAAGTTGCTAAGTCTTAGAATAATGTGACATAAAGTAGGAGATAACTACTGTCATGTCACCTCAGCCTCAGTTTCATTTACTGTAATTCCAGTTACCCCTAGTCAACTGGGATCCAAAAGTACCAAAAGGAAGATTCCAGAAACAAGAGGGAATACACTTATATAACTTTTATTACAGTATATTTGTATATTCTATTTTATTAGTAGCACCATTAATTTCTTACTGTACTTAAATTATAAGTTAAACTTTATCACATATATGTGTGTACAAAGAAAAGCATAATGTGTATAGAATTTGTTTCAGCCATCCATGAGAGAGTCTTACAACATATCCTGTGTGAATAAAGGGGGAACTACCTTAATCCAGATTTTGATACCTACCAGTGAAATGCTACTATAATAAAACCCAAATCATGATAGACAGAAAATACACAGTGAACTTTGAAGATAGTGTATGTAGAAGAATTTTCAGTAGAGTGAGGGTTGGTAAGGAAATGAGTGAAATCTCACTGGGAAATGGAGGAAGGAAAATATTGTGGAGTGTGAAAGGATGAGGAACACCATCGCCTGCAGTTATGTGGAAAATAGAGAATGTGCCTCATGAACTTGATAATCTACTCATGATGATTCCAGGCCTGGTGGGCACCTGCTGCTGATTGTAAAGTTTGAGGGGAGAGAGACAAACTAACGGAAGGACTGTTAAGGAATACGAGTCGTGACTTGGTGGTACCGAGAATTCTCAGCCTCCTAGGTGGCAAACAACACGACAATGAAGAAATAGCTTCTGAACAAACATCCAGTGCCATGAAGATATAGCTCAAGAATGAGGCCAAAAGTGTTATAGTCAAATCTTTTGTTAAGAACTCAGAAATATGAAAGGCAGTGCCTCATAATACTACTGACTAGACAGTGGACCCTGTGGGGAGATTAGGGATGTGCCTTTCAGTTCCCCCAGTCAAACAATATTACAGGCATTGCCCCTCATCCTCTCAGTGGAAGGCCAAGGTAGAGAAGATCTTTTCTTAAAGGTATTTGTGGTTTTCCCTTTCAGCTAATGAAGTGAACTCCAGTAAGATTCACGGAAGACTTCCCTGGTTTAAAAAGGAATTACATTAGCAGAAAAATCACCTCCTGGGATAGAAAGGGGTAGAGAAGGAACCAAATGAAGAGGTCTTTGGACTCCTAAGTTCTCCTGGCAGCAAGTAGGCTGGGAAAATTACTTAGTTGCAAAGATGTGCTACTTCTCTGTAAGAAGGAGAGAAGGTTCAGAGTGTGAAACCAGGAGTCCAGAGGCCAGGAGAGCCACGGAGAACTATTTCCAGACCTTGAGACTTCATCAAAGAGCACCCAGCATCTGCTTATCTTGATTTCATAGTTGCTGTGAACCTCCAAACCCCAGCTTTTATTTATTCACAACTTTATAAACCTTATATAGTTCTCGCCTCCATATATGAAGGTTGATGTGTGTCACCAAAAGCACATCGTAGAAGGCATCTGTCTTATTTTGAGATATTTGACTATTAAAGACTACAACTTTCACCTTTGACAATCTCTCTCTCTCCCTCTCATTCTTTCTCCCTTTTGCTCTCTTTCTCCACCTTCACTGAGTATATTGACTTTGACTATTTGAGAGCCTATCAGGACATGTGCAAGAATATTGTTAAATAGCTTTAATAATAGGGTTTCTATATGTTCTGGTTTGTATAGAGGAGTCTTGGATTATGCATGTTCTCCTCACATAAGTATGTTTCCCTTTTACTTTCCAAGTACCCTGGATAATAAATTGTGACTAAATTGTTAATCTCTCTAGCTTCCTGTTGTAGTCAGGATTTACAAGGGAAAAGATTTAACACAGCATACCTAATTTACAGGATTATTTTATAATATTCACTCAAAGAGTCAAATGCAGAAGAGTGCAGGAGATCTGTTCATGCACTACAGATCCAAAGAATCCAGCTGAGGGCCTGGATCCCATGGTAATGTCTTGCATGAGTCCAGCTGAAGACCTAGAGCCCATGGCAATGTCCTTCATAGTCCAGGTGGAGGTCTAGAGCCCATAACATTGTCTCATGCAAGTCTGTATCAAGGATCTGCACTGGGAAGGCCAAAGGCCAGTGGTGGGAACTAGAAAGTCTGTGCCAGCAGGATGAAGGACCTGTACCAGCAGGCTGAAGGATCTGCACTGAAGCCAGGAAGTGACGCTCAAGGTGAGGACCAGAGCTTCCCTGAAGAGAACCACAGCCATCCTCATTGACAGCGAGGACCTGAGCTCCTCTGACAATGAGAATAGCCAAGTTCGTATCAGGAAAACCAGCATGACAAGCTTCTCCAGAGGAATCAACTGCACACCATCTTCCCCTCCAGTGCTTTTATGCTATTGGCAACAATCCTCAGGTGGGCCTTCCAGACCCAGCACCACGCTGATTCAGTTCAGCTGGGTGTGACAAGTTGACCATTAGTTAATGCACCATACTTCCTATACCTCCAGTCATGTGACCTTACATGTTCTAAAACTATACCATTGTACTGTGTGTGTGTGTGTGTGTGTGCGTGTGTGTGTGTGCGCGCATTTAGGTGTATGTGTGGTGAAGCATAGAAAGAGACCAAGACAGCTGTGCTGATATCCACTAAGCATTTCCCCTCTTTTTGCAATGTTGTTTACTACTCCTGCTACCTTCCTGGGCAGAAAGTAACTAACTGGGAAAGGTCAGGTACCACAATAAGGTGGCTGCCAAAGGCCCAGCTCCAGCGTTCCTGTCTCTGGGAACTTGAACCTCTGAATGTTAGCATACCCTAGTCATAGCAAAAACAAATTTTACACAGATGTTTCAAGAGTGTTTTGAATCAATTTTATTTTATTTCTTTTCTCTTTTTCTATCTCTTTTTTAATGTAGGACTTGGAATTTGAAGGAGAAAGACTTAACCAGTGCATTCCTATGTCATGTTTAAAGATGGACAAAACACCTAAGAAGTATGTTCCTTCATGCTGGATTTGATGCACTCTATTTTACCTCTGTGTGTTTCACTATGGATTAAATATGGATCTATCACAGGTGATAAGTACCCCTTGGTTTAATTCACCCTAAGACTTTTGGGAATATCGACCCCATTTCATTCTGGGATATAACTGTGCCCCTTTATGTATATGATGTGTGGGGATAGGGTGGTCTAGCTGTGCCAGTATATCTGGGAGCCATATTTTATTTATCTCTTGAAAAATATCTAAATCCCTGGGCCAGTGTACAAAGTTCCACCTTGTGGGTGTGGCAGTCATTCATCCCTCAGACATTAAGAGCAAGTGTGGGTTCGTAGACAGTTTTCAAGTTGGATGGTGTCACTGTTAATCATGCTATGTGACCTTGAATAAGATAACAAACACTTCTCAGTATCAGTTTTTCATCAATAAAGCAGGAATAGTAGTAATAATACCTTGTCAGATTATTGTAAAAGTTGAATGGATAAGAAAAGTGATAGTTTAGAGAAAGTACTCTGAGTATGCTAAACACTCGATAAATGCTACTTAGCACTATATATCAGTGGTCCTTGATGGGGACCAACTTTGCCCTTGGAAGAAGTTCAGTGGTATGAAGAGAGGTTTTTGATTGTCACAACTGGGGCTGAGTGAGTCAAGGTGCCAGTGTATCCAGTGGGTAGAGCCAGGGATCTTGCTAAACATCTTTTAACAAACAGAGCAGCCCACACAACAAAGAGCTGTCTGGTTTGAAATGCCAGCAGAGCTGAGGCTGAGAAACCCTGCTGTATATCCATGCTGCTTGGTCATTGCTGTTTTCCTTAGCTCCTTATTCTACCAGAAATGGAATAAGATGAGACCTAGAATGAGGCCTGCCTCCTTGTGAGGCCTATTTAGTGGCTAAGAGACTAGGTCTTGCGTGTGGGATTACGTATCACTACAGCGCCATTTCAGTGCTCAGTGTGGAGTCCAGTGAGGTGTAGGAGAGCGTGCCTCTTATGCCCAACATTTCCAGTGATAGGGTTTTCTACTAAGAAAATGACCAGGGAAATTTAAAAGACTTTATGTATGAAAGAGCTAATTACACATGAACTTACAATAGTGAAAATAGGAACTAGCCTAACTATCCAGCAAAAAGGGATCATTTAAATAAATTATGGTAGACCCTTGGAATCAAACACTAGGTAATACCTAAAAATTATGCTGTAGTAAGAAAAAAAATGACTATAATATGCTAAGTGGAAAACAAAGTTTACAAAATAATATGTGCAGCGCCAGTATCATTTGGTATTGAAAAAATAGTGTCTACTTACCTAGCTATGAAAAATAGAAGTCAGTATTTCACCAGTGATTATAGCCAAGCTGTGGGCCAATGAGAAAATTTTTGCAGTGCACAAACTCATATCCACACCTTGGTATCCATGGTTTCCACACTCATGGATTTAACTAACTTTAGATAGAAAATATTACCCCCATGTCTCCCAAAAACCTTTTTGTGTACTGAACATGTACAGGCTATTTTTCTTGTCATTGTTCTCTAAAAATTACCATATAACTATCCACAAAAATTTATATTGTGCTGTGATTTATAAATCATCTGGAAAAGGTTTAAAGGTATGGTTATATACAAATACTATGTTATTTTATTTAAGGGACTTGAGTAGCCTTGGACTTGGTATTCAAAGCAGGATCCCAGGAACCAGTTTCCGGTGGACACTGAGGGACAGTCATACTTACATAATCATGAGGTTAATACATATTCAAGAACTGGGAAAACAGGAATGAAAATGTGGCTCAGGACCTAATGCACATGTGACCTGTTGTCTGCTTGTGGCTCCTGACCTAGAATACGATTGCTTTAAGGAACTGAAATCACGAGATGATCTCTAGGTATTTGCTATGATGTTAAAGCTGTGTCTTAACCTTTTCCTGCGCATTACATTCCCTTTCAACCTTAAAGAAGTTATTTTTAGAAAATCTTTCATTATAAAAAGTGGGATGATAAGCAGGGATCATGTTCTCTTTATCTTTTTTCTTTCAGATCATAATTGTAGATGTAGTATCTAATTATCTAGATTACGTTTTTAGGATAGTTCTGAATGCCTTGCAGTTCGTGCCAAGGGAACAAAGACAGAAACTGAGGAAATCATGTCACTGTGGTAAACATAAAATGTTTGATGTTTACTAATGAAATCTGTTTACCTTCATAACTGTATAATAGGGCCATTAAAGACAATAGATACAGTAGTTTAAAAGTAATAAAATTTACAACAAAGTGTATTTAATTTGAAATTGAATTGCTGGTAAATGGGTGTCCTAATGAACCCTTGTGTCAATGGAGCTCTAACCAAATTAAGGGAAATCATTTGTGTCACAGGAAACTAAATCAGCAGTGAGGCCCCAAAAGGCTATTCCTCTGGTGGGGGTATAGTCATTGTCACAGATGGCCCTGCTGATGGAATAAAGCTTAAGTCAGGAGAAGTGAGATACACGATCCTTCTTAACTCAAATTAATTTGGGAAAGCGGGCAAAGGCTGTCAGGATTCAAGAAGAAAAAAAAAGTCAACAATAAAGAAGACTCTCCAGTAAAGTGCATAAAAGTTAATAAGAAGCAAAGAGCCTGGGGAACATTTTGAGGGTAGAAATAGATCTTGATCTCTGGCTATTACGTTAAAGAATTTTTTTTATGTCATATCAGCTAGTCATGAATTTAGATGAAGTTTTTCTCAAAGTTTCTCCAACAGTTTATAAGAAAGAGAAGAAGCAGGAATGAAAAGTGAACTGGTAAAAAACCTGATGAAATCTACAGATTCTGCATGTATGGATTCAACCAACCACTGCAAACAGAGTTAGGCCTATGATGGGTGCTTCTCTACTGGACGTGTCCAGACATTTTTTCTTGCCCTTATCCCCTAAACAATATATTATAATAACTGTTTGCATAACATTTATATTATATTATGCATTATAAGTAATCTAGGGCTACACAGGAGAGTACACAAAAGGATCTGCATACACACAAACATTATGCCGGTTCATACAAGGGACTTGAACATCTGTGGATTTTAGTATTCACGGGGGGTCCTGGAACAAATCCCTCACAAATATGGAGGGATGATTGTATTTGATCTCCTGGTAATTTCTCAACAAGTGACATTTTAATTATTGAGAGATCAGTAGCTAATACAGTATAGTGAATCTTATATTTTATGGGGCCATACTTCAAAAGCTACTTCCTCTCTGACTTTAATCAGCGGCAACACCTGTAATGTGGTGTTTATCTAATTCTTAGTTAATGTGACAAAATGTTTAAGGAAAACATCAGATTGCACTGTGCTTCCAAAGGCAAATCTTTGCTTTATACTCTGTTGTCAATTTCCCTTTCTTTTTGCCTCCTTCTCATAATTGCAGCAGAGCTCCAAGTCAGCCATTCATAGCAGACTTACGTGTTTGTGAAAAACACAATGTCACCAAGCTTGGTTCCTGCCCGGAAGTAACTCACAGTTGCCAGGGAGCAGAAGGATCTTGCTGGAAGGTGGGGCTCTGGGGACTGACTTTTTTTCCTGATGCAAAATGTGAAATGATGAGATCAATGGTATTGATCTATGTGCCTGTTGTGCTTTTCTGCCTGTAGATCTCTCGAGAGAAACAGAGTTTTAGCAGGCCTAATAAATATTTTCTGATGAGAATTCTGTGCTAAAATAGGATGGCTGAAAGCTCTCCATGGCAAAGCCCTTGGAATTCCTCAAAGCAGGGTGCTGATAGGAGCAGGCTCCGTCCCTGCTATACAGCGAGGCAGGCCTGCCACCATGCAAATGAGACAAGGCTTGAGATTTGATGAATCTTCTATCTCCTGTTTCTACTCATCTGACACTTGCTTTGAGGAAGGTTGTAAATGCAAGAGAGATTGTGGTATAATTCCTCAGACTGGCATTTCTGCCCCCTAGTCACCATTCGATTATCTTCCAAATTGCTGTGTTTCAGAGAGATAAAGATTTTTTATGGCTTGCTGGCTTGAAACAACCACAAGAGCCGGCAAAGAGATGGCTAGGCGGCCATGCATAGTAATTCCACTGGTAAATGACAAAATCTTTGTTTGTATGACATTTCCAAAATTACTACAGAAGATGAATCTAAAACACAAAATGTCACATTTGGCATGCAAAACTATCACAATATATTTCAGTATAAAATTCATAGAGGCGTTTAATTTAGAATGTGTTTAATAACTCCGTCTGCCTGCATCAGTAATCCTGCCTTGAGGTTTAAAAAGATTGTCTTATTTATTCACATGGTGTTAATTTTAAAAATATTTTTGGAAACCAAAATATTAAGGTTAAGCCTTTGTTGTTAATTAAGATTTTCTAATTAAACCAAAAATAATTGTTATTCCAATTAGTTTTTAAGTATGACTTGCATGAAAAAACAAAAGAAGTTGAACAACTTTCACTGTTTATTTAACTGCGGTTTAATTCTAGAAGCATACTATCTATATGGAAATATATATTATCTCTTCAAATAAAGTCTAGGCAGGATTACAAAATCCTTAGTGCTAGCTGCAGTTTAACTGGTGGTACTACTAACTTGAGTGGCCAGAAGTAACTTGCTTCTAAAAATGACATTGCTTTTGATTAAAGTGCAGCATACTAGAACATTCTTCAAGGTCTAATAGTTTTGAAAACTATTAGAGACTTGGGGATATAGAATGATGCATGGCTTAAATGACTCTTAAGTTATTAGTAATCCTGGTTTAGTATTTATTTAACCTGAAACAGTAGTTCATTAAAAATCATAAACTTGTATAAATGTTTAGACACTAAAAATGAAAATGGCCTTTTTCTGTCTGCTAAGGGTGAGCAATGACATTCAAACACGCTGTAGAGTATGAAGTCATCTCCCACAGTCACATGCAACCGGTGGTAAATTTTAGGATAAAACACATCCACATGCTACTTTCCCCTTGGTTTTGGACTCTCATTGGAAGCCTGTAGGTCAGGCTGACAATGATGTAGCCAAGTGAGGTATTAGCCTGGCCTGCTTTGCATGCGCTTGTCAACCTTTCGTTGTGATCTGTGATTACTGTTGTAGGTCAGGCCTGTCACCCTTCAGAGTCCCAGTTTGAAGCTTACTGCTTAGTTTCACCCACCGCTGATATTGGAGAGGGCACGCTGTGTGGTTTTCAGAAGTGTTGGTTTCCTGTTAATTCTATCTTGCTATGATAAATGGATGGTTTCTGATGTCACAGATCATTAACATACCATGTTTAAAGGTTGGCCAAACTTTCCCTCCTATCATCAGCAGGTTTGCCTTTTGACCTCTTAATTATACATTGTGTTTCCTCATCTGTTATCATTGCTAATACCCAACAATTACAGCTTGAGTAAAAGTAATTGTCTATTCCCCTTCCCAGAAGCCCATTGTTGCTAATTGTGTGGTTTTACCCAGTTCCTGTGTAGTTCAAGAATTCTACCTTTTATGCAGGTTGAGCAGTCTCAGTCGCCTCGGCTGCTTCAAATACAGATCAAATGCATCAGAGGCCTCAAGGACAAAGCTCCTCAAGGCTCTTATCTCCTCAAGGTGTCCCTGCTCAGCCGACTAGGGGGCTGTGCCTTGCAGAGGTGGCAAACAGAGCACCTGAGGACCCGAACACGTCCTGTGAGGCATGACGGCTTCTTCTACAACACGGGGCTATATTTCCACGAAAGTCTTTACATGGTAAGGTGACCTTCTGTGTGTATGTATCCCTTTTATTTTATTTAGTTTCTGGTTTTCCCTATCCATCCACCTTCCTTCTGTATCCATATAGCTTTAGAAAACAAACTTTGTATAATAAAGAATCTTATTCATTCATTAATATTAATTTACATATTCACTCGTTCAGCAAATCCCCAATAAGTACATTCTACAAGCCAAGAACTGTCATGGACCACTGGGGGCACCTTAAATTCCACCATAAAAGGGAAACGCTTCCCTTCCATGTCAAGAACATATGGATTTCTGATCTTGTCCTTCCCCTTTTTTAAGATTTCGAAGTGGAGAGCTCGCTGATTTGTTCATTGGGTGTAGTACATATGTATGCGTGCAGATAGCCAAAGCTACTGATTTTTGGAGAGAACTAGGCCCCAGGTAGGAAGTGAAGGTGGGGGGACTATGTGATGGATACAGGGGAGAATCCTGACCATGCCTGGGAGTTCTGGAGGAGCCAGCACTGAGAGAGGAGGTGGTGGGTTAGACTAGAGTGACCCTGAAAGCAGGGATGGAGCAAGGCTCAGAGAGCGAGCATCAGGTACCTGTGGGAGGAGAGAGAGAGGAAGCTCAGCCCTCTCTGGGGTATCTATGCTGGAAGATGGTGTCCTCCAGGGGACTCTACTCCCTCATCTCACACTGGCACACTTGGAGCTGGCATGGGTAACAGCTGTTCACAAATGTATAATTGCCTTTATACTGGTAACTTGATGTATTTAAAAATTATAAGAATTATTATAAGCATCACAGGGTGATATTTAAACAGAAAATTTTCCTAGCAATAGGTGTGTGTGTTTTATTTTCCCATTTCATGTAAGGTTTATGTTAAGGCTATATTATTATTAGGGGCTCATTGGACCATTGAATAATAAGTAGAGAACCCCAAATGACCACTATCATTTAAAAGTTGATCATTTAAAAGGGAAAAAAAAACCCCACAAAACATAAACACAAACTAAATAAGGCTATTATTGGGAACCATATACTAAATAGATATTTAGTGAATGTCACAGCATAGCCCTAAGCCATAGACATTATCAGCTTCAGACACTTTTTGGAGAACTGACCATCATGACGAAGATGATACCAGAAGTCTCTGAAACAGACACTTAAGATTTCCAGGAAGAGTTTGAGGAAAAGGGGATTCTGAACTGACAATATTCGGGGGAAGGAGTCACCACATTGGCACATTTATGAAGTGTAATGACACGTGCCGATCAGAGTTGTGTGAGAAATGAGTGAGCTAATGCAGGCAGAAAAACACCATGCTGATAGATAGTAAGAATTAAAAAGTTTTTATTATTACTGTTATAATTATGCTGTATCTTTGATAGTGAAGCCCATAAATTTTTACCCACTGGACTTTTCTTTTAACTAATATGATAAATGCTTACATTTCAGGTAATTTTCAAATTAACCTTTGGTTGAGAACAGTGTAGGTGAACAATTTTTTTTATCCAATAAGTGATCCCAAAAGCCTTGTTAAGAAGCATAGGATATATGTATGGGTGTCAGACTCACTTGGTTATCTAGCTAACTTTTGCCTGGGCAAGCCTTCAACTGCTAGAAGCAGAATTCAAGGCAGGTACCAAGCAGGCATCAGGCACACTTCAGCCCATGAAGTGAGTTTTTAGCTCTTACCATTTACCAAGGAGATATTTTAGAAATGTAGTGGTAGCTAAGCATCTATTTGCTGTAATTTCAAAAGTGTTCATCAGAACAGAATAAGCAGGGGTATTCTTTTGATATGTTTTGATCAAGTACTCAAAATTTTAAATAATAGAGTTGGGCTATAAAATATTATCATTTGCAGAGTTTATTTTTCAAAGCCATCTGCATAAATAAATTTTTATTTCAGAAAGCTATACAAAATATTTTACTGTTTGTTTGGGTGCCAATCCCCTGGGATCCCACTGGATTATGAGTTCTGAGTGCAGGAATCACATCTATTGATATATTTGCTTTGTAGGGAATATCCCCTGAGAGGGATGGGATGGTTGTCACAGAACATTATGGTTTAGATAAATGTCTCCTAAAGATCCATGTATTCAAGGATTGGTACCAGAGTGACACCCTTGGAAGGTGGTAGAATGCTTAGGCAGGAGGGCCCAGTAGGAGGTTTTGCGGTCCTTTGGGTGTATCCTTGAGGGAACTGTGGGACCCCATTTTGTTCCTCTTTCTCTTTGCTTCATGGAATGAGTGATTTTCTTTTGCGGAACATTTCTACCATGATTAGCTGCCTTGTCAGAGGGCCAAAGCAATGTGCATCCCCAAGGTTAGGTGGAAGCTCCAAAACAATGAACCAGAAGAATCCTTTCCTCTTCATACATTAATTACAGTGAAGGAAAGCTGTCTATAAAAAAGGATATGCTATAGATAAAGTGTCAGGAGGGATGAGGATGAAGAATGTCTTCAGAGACTGGGGTGGAACTGCTAGGAGATTGCAAGAAACATCCATGGTGTTAGAATCCATACCTGGTAATCTGAATAACTAAACTGAAGACAATATGCAATATAACAACCATTGTTGAATTCCTACCATCTTGTTTAGTGAAACTCTGTATCATTTCTAATTTTTGTATTACTTTTTATTCTCTTTAACTGTTTGATTAATCTTGCATTCTTATATCCAGTAATCTGAGCAACTTCCTTGAAGATAACAACATGCAATATAACAACCATTATTAATTCCTATCATCTTGTTTTGAAATTCTGTACCATTTTTATTGTTTTTATGTTGTTTTGTTTTTGTCTTTGTTGTTATTTTGTTATTGTTTTTTCTTTTTAAAATTAAAAAAGAAAAACTAACACTTTATAAAATACAGAATTAAAAGTTAAATCCACCTCCCCCCCCAAGGAAAAGAATCCATAGGGACAAATCTGGCTATTCCTCCAACAAGAAATGCATTTTCTCTTCCTGCCAAATAGAACAGAAAGTATCTTGAAATAGTTAAAAGAGCAATCTCAAATTTTCTTCATATGTGTCAGAAACAACAATAACAAAAAACAAACAAAAAATAATTACCTCCTGCCACAGTCAAGGAAAGTTTACTCTTTAACAGCCTGACAAAATGTCACTGAATTACATCCATCCCTTGGTATCACCTAGCAAAAATCTTAGATCCCCAAAGAAGTACACAAGGCTGTTTCACATTCAGCACATGTAAGAAAAGCACACAATTCAGGGCAAAAACAAAAACAAGAAAAGCAACAAAACATCCAGAATTTGACGGGGAAGAGAATTCATTGGAGACTTTTTGCTTTCAGAATAAAAATGCTGTTTCTCTGCCTTGTTCATTCTGTTGGGTTCTATCCAATCACATGAAGTTTTTTCACTAACCACAATTCTGCCTGCCAGTCACTCCACTGGCAGTTTGTGGGAGACTGACAGTTAAAGCAGCAAGTTTTCAAGCAATGTAATTTCATAAAAAGTACAGTCACAAAAACATAAAAGTGTGCATTGTGTATGTAATTAGTACAATTTAAGACAGCTATTTCATTGAATTTAAAGTACCAGTCAAAAACAGACCCATCTCTGTTCTTACTCCACTAATGGGGGACATTGTCTTCTGTAAGGTTGTTGGACAGTGCGAAGCATCACACAAATGCAAGCAGAGAGAGATGGTAAAGTTTCTGCACAAATTGAAGAATCAAGAAGGCAGTACTCAAATGAAAGAACTTAGAGAGGAAGCACTGCGGCTGAGGGGGAAATGTCTACTTCACACCTCTGTAGCCTTACACTGCTAATGGACCTGGGGATGAGCGTAGCTGCTTCAAGGGTGGCTCACCTATTGCATGAGGCTTGTCCAGGAGCCAAATACTTGAAAGCTTGGTTTAGGCTGCCTACAGGTGTTCAAGAAAGTTCTAGAGGGAGACAGCAGATATATGGGTGAGCCCCAAGATGTGTCACTACCAACATACACACGACTACCTCCAGATACTACTTTTATTGTGGTTTTTTTTTTTTTTATACCAGGAATTTAACTCAATGCATTGAGAATGTTCTAGGGCTTTCTTTCTCATGGGTTCTGGTAGCTCCAGGGGTTTCTTGGTTGTTCTTGCACCCCTGCCATCCTCATTTGCACTTCGCATTCACTTCCTGCCTTCTTATCCCCTTTCTTATGTGTGACTATTTCTCTACGTCCAAATTTCCCTGTTTTATAAGGACATGCATCACATGTAAGAAAATGGACTAGGAGTCACTTCTAATAATTTTATCTCAATTTGGTTGAGCCTAAAAGATCTTATTTCCAAGTAAGATCACATTCTAAGATATGAGGCTTATCTTTAACATATCTTCTTTGTGGGTAAACAATTCAACTCTCCTAACAAATATGGCTTTAGTAAAACCTTTTAGATATTGTGAAATGATGGGAAACTACTCAAGGGTAAAGGGCAACTGGGATGTGGGAAAAGAGAAGGGAAAGAAGGAAAATTTTGTATGTATGTATATACAAGATACTTAACATAGTTGTTCTACCGTCTTCTATTTCTTTGCTGAAACTGTCAATAAGTACTTGATTGATCAATACTGCATGTCTCTATCTGTTTTCATGAGAAGATATCAATATGTAATACCACTTTGAAGATATCAATATGTAATACAACAAGCATTATTAATTTCCTACCACTTTGTTTGTAACTCTGTGTTATGTGTACTGTTCTGTTGCTATTTTGTAAAAGGTTGTCTGTTAATGTTTTCCTCCATTTATTTTTAAAAGAAAAAAAAAAGAAAAAAAGAATAAGGGAAATGTAAGAACTAATAATATCTTTGTATTCTTTTCTTAAAATGTCTATGTTTGAAGTGTTTTGTAAATTTACAAAGGAATATTAAATAATATGGCCTTTCTATTCAATTCTGATAAAATATTAGATAATTTAGACCACATAAGTAGAAAAAAGAAAAAATGCATGATCATATAATTTGTATTATTGAATAATTATTACTCCAATTGACTCAATAGAAATTC